CGCCTGAACCCGGGAGGCGGGGGTTGCAGTAAGCCAAGATCCTGCCACTGCACTCCAGCCTGGCTGACAGAGCAAGCCCCATCTCAAAAAAAAAAAAAAAAAAAAAAAAAAGGAAATCTACAGCTGGTTCTACTCACAATGGAGGATTAATCCTAATTTCATTAAATCCCAAAACTCCACTAATGGACAGTAAAGAGATTTTTGACATCAAATAATATAAAAGCACAAAAGGTAGTTTCAACAGGACTAACAGGAGTGGACACAACACAAATGTTTGGAAGCTGGCAGCAGAACAGATGAGAAATAACTGACCTAGTACATCTGAGACAAACATCAACGCAGAAGGGGTAAAAGTGGATAAACACTAGTTACAGCACAGAATCTTCTAAGTTTCAGGAACTGGCAACACCATGTACCTCTGGTAAGGGGAATAAAAGGTAGGGACTGAAAGTAAGGCAGACTGAATGATATCTAAGAGGCAGTTAAATCCCTAGATCTCCTCCCCAACTCCATGCTCCTGGGTGGTGCCTTTCTCCTACCATGGCAGAAGTCTAACAGTTTTTCTCTAGACAGCTGAAATATTATCTGGCCTGGGAGATGACAGGCACAGTTGAGTCCTGCATCATATGGAAAACAGGGTGCCTGGGTGACTATACTAGTAATGAATGCTTCTGGAAATAAACCTCACATTTCTGGTCAGTTGATTTGACAAAGTTGCCAGGCAATTCAGTGGGAGAAAGAATAGTCTTTTCACCAAAATGAAATAACTGGACATTTAATGAATCTGAATCCTTTACCTCACACTATATACAAAAATTAACTCAAAATTGATCATAGAACTAAAGGTAACAGCTAAAACTATAAAGCTCCTAGAAGAAAACATAGGCGGTAGGATCAATTGGCATTGGCAACTTACTGGATATAAATAAAGCAAAAGCTGACTCGGATTTTAAACCTGCTTGGCTGAGAAGACAGGATACCTAAGTGGAATGTGCCTTTCCTCTTCGCTGATTTGGCTCTGACTCTCATTGTAGCAAATCACAGCCACAAGAAGAGCCCTATACTCAGTCCTGAGTCGTCCTAGCAAACAGAACCTGGAGAAGTCCTGGAGGCCTCAACACAGGCACATACAATGAGAACAAATCAATTTGTCTGTATAGCATAATGACAAAGCAGCACGTGAATTAACCTGAAAGCAGAACTTCCCTGGCTTCTTGGTTCAGCAGCTGCCGATGGATGGGCATGAATCACACCAATTCAGCATCCCGCCCTTCTCTGCCAATGCACACAGCTCTCACTCTGTCCTTAGACGTCTCAGCCCACAAGTTAGAAGGCTTAGCATGCCACTGCTCTATAACCAAGGTACACACAGACACATTTTGGGGAAGGATGTTTCTCATATGTTAAAATGCGTGTAAAAGTGCGCAGTAGACAATAGTGTGCTTTACAAGGTAACCTATCATTAAGCTTAAAAGGTAGATGTGTAAGCCATAAACAGCTTTGATGTGACGCTTCCAATACCAAGTTATTCCTCTAGAGGAGCTCTCACACCTTCCTCAAATTACAAGTCACATAAAGGATACAAACACATTTTTAACTTTGGTTTCAGGTTTCAATTTTGTTGATCTTGGAATATACACATTATCTCCAAGTTAACAAGAAAGAGCTTCATCAAGGGAGAGATTTCATGACATCAAAACTGGTCTACCCAATTTATTATACCTTTGGAATGCTTTCCTTTTGAGTCCTTCCATATATTATATATAACACATCTCACTTCAACACATGGCCTACTCAATGTATCTCTTTAATCTTCCCTGAAGTTCAAGTTAATCTTTTTTGGGGGGAGACAGAGTCTCACCCTGTCGCCCTGGCTGGAGTGCAGTGGCACAATCTTGGCTCACTGCAACCTCCACCTCCTGGGTTCAAGTGATTCTCCTGCCTCAGCCTCCCAAGTAGCTGAGATTACAGGTGCCTGCCAGCATGCCTGGCTAATTTTTGTATCCTTAGTAGAGACAGGGTTTTACCATATTGGCCAGGTTGGTCTGTAACTCCTGACCTCAGGTGACCTGCCCACATTGGCCTCCCAAAGTGCTGGGATTATAGGCATAAGCCACTGCCCCATCCCATGGCAAATCTTAGAACTCAAAAAGATCTTCAACATTCTGCCGGCCAAATAAGCTATAAATGCTTGCTAAAGTCTATGCCTGTAACCTGGATGTGCCTAAGCTTGGCATGGATTCACAGTCACCTGGGGAGTTTTCTAGGCCCCGCTCCAAATTTACTGAATGAAAATTTCTATGAGTGGAGTGTGTATGTACCTCTATTTATTTCTAAAGACATCCTGAAGCAGCTCTGCCTGGAAGAACTCTGTAGAAACTCCTGATTTGCAGTGGACAAATAACCACTCCAATGACAGAAGGCAGGAATGTCAAGAGGATTTGTGAAACAGTTTTTGTAAATTAGATAAGGAAGGAGAATCTATAATCTTGACAACACAAGTATTTCTCCCTGAGTGGCAGAAGAATTATGATACTGAAACCAAAGAGAAGAAAATAGAACCTAGTATGCTACGTGGCTTTGCAGTGGGTAATACCTGCAAAATCTAAAATAATAAAACTACTAAATGGTTTTCAGCTTTACAACCAATCTACAGACAACGGACGAAAGGCTTATAGTTAGATAACAATATACAAATATTGCCACCCTTTACAACATAGAAGTCTGGTACAGCTGCAAGAGCTGAAAGGAAGGTAGGAAGGGAAGATGGCAGGAGGCCTAATATTCTCATTTTACAAAGAGCGAGGTCCAGTGATCTGTTTAAAGTTGATAGTACAAATAAACAGAGATTTAAGTATTTCACACAGAGTCACAAATATAGCCAATAAAAGAACTAGCAGGTCAATAATAAGCTGGGAAGTAGAAAGGTGAAGTAACTTGCTCAAATTCAGCTCACTAGAAAGTTCTGAGGCCAGTGGGCTGAGCAGGGGCCAATCACACTCTAGACTCCACGCACTTCATCAGCGTTTCAGCGTGCCCAGCCCTGTGTGAGGAAGTAACTTGCTTAGATGCCTAGTTATTGTTACAGCCAGAAAAAGAAACTCATAGATGCCTAGTTAGTGTTACAGCCAGAAAAAGAAACTCAATCTCTAGTCTTAAACTTACTTTTTAAAGATATCTTTAAAATTTTCAGGAAAAAAAACATTAAAAATGTCCCTATTGGTTCATTCTTTGAACACATACCAATACTTTTTTTTTTTTTGATGGAGTTTCACTCTTTTGCCCAGGCTGGAGTGCAGTGGTGCAATCTCAGCTCACTGCAACCTTCACCTCCCAGGTTCATGCAATTCTCCTATCTCAGCCTCCTGAGTAGCTGAGACTACAGGCACACGCCACCACGCCTGGTTAATTTTTGTATTTTCAGTAGAGATAGGGTTTCACCATATTGGTCAGGCTGGTCTCAAGCTCCTGACCTCAGGTGATGCACCCAACTCAGCCTCCCAAAGGTGTGAGCCACCAGGCCCAGCCAGCACTAACATTTCTTACAAAGAGCTCCTCCACAGCTCCCCTCACCTATGATCAGCATTCTATCTATTCTCCAGTCTATCCCACAATGATGGAGGAAGATACTGCAGTCCACCATCCACTGTCTGCCAAAACCTGAGAGAGGGTCCAGAACCAACACTGAAGATGCAAAGCAAGTCAGTCTGCTCCACCCTTAGTCTATGCTCTAAGCCCACAGTCTACCTGCCAACAGAGATGCCGTGGTTATGTGCAGAGAGCACCCACTGCCCGCTCCAGGGGAGGACATGGCAACAGCACATGAAGGGCAGGTGGAGGGCTGCTCCAAAGGAGACGTGATCTGGTTCATGGACCTTCATGTGAATAGGTAATGCCACTCAGTGACTGCTGCTTTATACTTCATATGATATTTTGAAATACTCAATAGAAATGACAATATCTATCCCAAAAATAATTATTTAAAAATAAGTTATAACCCAAACTCATTAGAACCAGTAAAAATCATTTTCTTTTTTTTAAAAAAGAACAGGGGCTTCCTCTGTTGACAAGGCTGAAGTGCAGTGGTACAATCATGGCTCACTGCAGCCTTCAGTTCCAGGGCTCAAGTGATCATCCTGCCTCAGCATCCTGAGTAGGTGGGACGACAGGCACATGCCACCACATCTAACTTTTTGTTTTGTTTTGTTTTTGGAGACAAGAGTTTTGCTCATTGCCCAGGCTGGAGGAGTGCAATGGCGTAATCTCAGCTCACTGCAACTTCCATCTCCCAGGTTCAAGTGATTCTCCTGCCTCAGCCTCCCAAGTAGCTGGGATTACAGGCAACTGCCACCATACCCAGCTAATATGTATATTTTAGTAGAGACAAGATTTCACCATGTTGGCCAGACTGGTCGTGAACTCCTGACCTCAGGTGATCTGCCCGCCTCGGCCTCCCAAAGTGCTGGGATTACACGCGTGAGGCACCATACCTGGCCACATCTGACTAACTTTTTTTTTTTGGAGACAGAGTTTCACTCTTGTTGCCCAGGCTGGAGTGCAGTGGCACGATCTTGGCTCACTGCAACCTCTGCCTCCCGGATTCAAATGATTCTCCTGCCTCAGCCTCTGGAGTAGCTGAGACTACAGGCACACACCACCACACCCAGCTAATTCGTGTATGTTTTGCAGAGATGTGGTTTCACCATATTGGCCAGGCTGGTCTTGAACTCCTGACCTCATGATCAGCCTGCCTTGGCCTCCCAAAGTATTGGAATTCCAGGCGTCAGCCACAGCGCCTGGCCTCAAATGACCAATTTTTAAAAACCTTTTATATAGAGAGAGCACCTGTCTCACCATCTTGTTCAGGCTGATCTTGAACTCCTGGGCTCAAGTGATCCTCCCACCTTGACCTCCCAAAGTGCTGAGATTGCAGGTGTAACCCCCTTCATCTAGCCTTCAATTTTTAAAATTCAATTTCATTCATTATCATTATCACTTACCCCATTTTCAGTGCGTTTTTCTCCAGGTACATTTATTACATTTCTCTGAGTTCGTTGCTCTTGGGTCTGACGGCCACCTAAAGAAATAAAAGAACCAAATTCACCAAAAGACATATTAGAAAAATGTAATATTCTGCCCTTTCTTCATTTATTCATATATTTATTGAACACAAATGTAAAACACCAGGCTGAGAAAATCAAGACTTGGTACAGCTGAAAACACGGTCTTACCATTAATCTTCTTTATGAAAGTTGTTTAGGCTGGGCATGGTGGCTCACACCCCTAAGATCACCACTTTGGGAGGCTGAGGCAGGTAGAGCATGAGGCAGGAGTTCGAGACCAGCCTGGCCAACGTGGTGAAACCCCGTCTCTACTAAAAAGCAGCTGGGCATGGTAGCAGGCACCTGCAACCCCAGCTACTCAGGAGTCTGCGGCAGGAGAATCACCTGAACTCAGGAGGCAGAGGTTGCAGTGAGCTGAGATCATGCCACTGCACTCCTGCCTGGGCGAATCGAGACTCTGTCTCAAAGAATAAAAAAAAACCAAAAAAGCATTTTTTTGTTTTATTCCATTCATATTACACTTAAAAACTGAAGAAAAATCCTATTACAGAAGTACTGATTCACTTTAAACTATGAGTTACTTCTCCAAGATGGTGATATTGCTGCCCACAAGGGACACAAAGTGATTCTTATGGGGTAAAAACAATTACTCTCTATGTATAAAGCAAAACGTATAGTATATAAATGATATATAGGCTGTTTGATGGAGGCAGAATGGGGGACGAGTAAAAACGTAACTTCCAAAAAGGCTCCTTAAGGGGAGCAATAGTAAAAAAAGAGATTATAAAACCTATAGCACCTATCAGTTTACAGGGTATATTAATCTCTTAGTTATTCTTCGTATTTTAAAGGAATAAGGTATTCAGATTAATTTAACATTCAATTGCTACCTCTTCCAAACACCAAACTATCAAGAAATTAAAATATTATGAACACACAACATTACCATTATACCAAATGCCACTTAATCTTTGATGGTAAAAAAGAAACCTGATGATCTTGCATTTCAGTCAGAAAGTAAGAATAGACACTTAATGAGCACTTCCCACACACCAAGCTCCCTCTAACCACTTCACAAGTACATACGTGACCCTCACCACACCTGTATGAGGCTCTGTACACCCTGCAGACAAGGAAGTGAAGTCACCTGCCATGGTACCATCCTAAGTAAACAGCAAGTCCAAGACTGAAGCCAGATGGCCTCGCCCTAACTCCATCACGTCACCGTCCAGGTTTCAGTCTGCGCTCTGGCTGTAAGCTGCTTGTGCGATCTTCATCTAGTTACCTGATCATTCTAAGCTTCTATTTCCCGAAGTGTAGGATGGGGTTGAGAGGTCCTCTACATTGTCCTCCAGCTTCCCACCCTTTTAGTTGAGGAATGTCTTTTACTTCTTATTTCTTACAGTTCTACACACAATAAACTCAAGCGCAATCCCCTTTAAACAATACCAGTTTGTGGTAACTGCCGTGCCCTCAGCAGAAAATTTGAGTCTTGGGCTCTAAACTCTGGCTCCTTAGAATATAAATAAGCTGGGGCAAGGCATAGTGGCTCATGCCTGTAATGCTGGCACTTTCAGAGGCCAAGGTGGGCAAATCACTTGAGCTCAGGAGTTCAAGACCAGCCTGGGTGACATGGCAAAGCCCTGTCTCTACCAAAAACCAAAACAATACCAATGACAAAATCAGCTAGGTGTGATACACGCCTATAGTCCCAGCTACTTGGGAGGCCGAGGTGGGAGGATCACTTGAGCCTGGGAGCTGGAGACTACAGTAAGCGGTGATTGTGCCACTGCCCTCCAGCCCAGGTGAAAGAGAGAGACCCTGTCTCAAAAAAATATATATTAATAAGCTGAATGGAGAAGTTTAGTGAGCAAAAGCAAAACAAAACATGAGACAGCACCCACTGAGCTACTCTCTATGCCACCCTTTTAGGCAGAGGTAAAGGGGCAGAGGGTAGAGCGTTGCAGGTGGGAAAGATGGGATTCGGAGTCGGGGCATGAAAGGGAGAGTGAATGTGCCGCTCCTGGGCTCAGGAAATCCTCTCGCCTCAGCCTCCCAAAGTGCTGGGATTACAGGAGTGAGCCATAGTACCCTGCCCATTTCCAAACTTGGTAAAGTAGGAAAAAAATAACCCCTCTCCCCAGGACATTAAGGATTACGTACACATTAATAAGTAAAAGGAAAGACGTTTTACTTAAGTATAGCTAGGTGTGGGAGGGTATAGGTATACGGAGAACTCAGCTAGAGAGTTAAAATAAATCCTGAGCACTAAAGCAGCATTTTAACTGTCAGTCAGTCTAATCCTCCACTTCAGGGGGATGTTCTCAGAGAGGAAGGACCCTTGTCTAAAGCAAAAGTAGATGAAGAGTTGAGCCTGGAGCCTTGGTGTCCTGGCTCCAGATGTAATGGTGTTTTCTAAAAGACAGCCTGATAACAATATTTATAGCTACAGAAAGATGGTTTTAAAATAGACAGTAGCTCATCCAAGGGCAAATTTTCCTTTACTATAAAATACAAATAAAGGGAGATAACTTGCAATACAGAAATACTATTTTTACAAAGGACTGTCCTTTTATTTGATTTCATTTTTTTAAATATCAGAAGTAATCCATAATCACTGTTAAATAACAAGGTCTTTTAATTGTACAGTGCATATGTGTTCAAAAAATTTTTCCTTATTTTGTTTAAATTTTAATTCAAAATACATAGTATATTCCCATGGTTCAAAAATCAAAAGGAACAAAAAAGTATACAATTAACAACCCTCCCTCTCCTCCATTCTACAGCCACTCTTCCCTTCCCCGCAGGCCAGCAACATCCCCAGTTTCTTAGGCATCTTTCAGAATTGCTTTATACATCTACACACACGAGCAGACACATATGCACGGGGCTCTTTGGTCATCTTTCCACAAAAGGCAGCTCAGTGTGCACTTTCTTTTGCACCATGCTTAATTCATTTAGCATGTTCAGGAGATGGTCTGGTAAGGGCACAGAGGTTCTTCATGGTTTATGGCTGCAGAGCATTCTGCTGTATGGATGGACCCTAATTTATTTAGCTCAACTCTCCTGGTGTGCATTTAGGTTGTTTCTACCAGCAATGCTCAGTGAATAATCCTGTGCACGTATCATTTTGTGTGTCAGGGCACAGCTTTGGGACAAATTCTCAGAAATGAAACTGCTGGGTTAAAGGTTTTATGTTTTCTAAGTTTAACAGCTACTGCCAAATCTCTCTCTAGAAGATGCCAACTGCCTCCCATAGCAATGAAGACTGCCTGTTTCTCAGCATCTTTGTCAACACTGTGCTATTAACTGTTCTAATCTTTGCCAATGTGACAGGTAAAATACTACTTCAAGACAGTTTTCTCTGCATGTCTTTTACTAGAAGTAAGGTTTCATATACCCTCGGGCCATGTATATTTTCTTTTCTGTGAACTGTGTTTGCATGTTCTTCCTATTATTCTACTAAGTTTTTTCTTCTCAAATTTTAGGAACTCTTTACATGTAAAGGGAATTAGCCCTCTGCAATGTGAGCTATAAATGCTATTTACCAGTTTATAATTTATCTTTTGACTTTTTTAGATGGTTATTGCCATGCAGTTATTTCTGCTTTTGTTTTATTTGTGTTGCCCAGGCTGGAATGCAGTGGCGTGATCTTGGCTCACTTCAACCTCCGCCCCCCGGGTTCAAGCGATTCTTCTGCCTCAGCCTCCTGAGTAGCTGGGATTATAGGTGAGCACCACTACATCGGCTAATTTTTAGTAGAGATGTTGGCCAGGCTGGTCACCAATTCCTGACCTCAAGTGGTCGGTCCGGCTCGGTGGGTACTGGGATAATAGGCGTGAGTCACCACGCCCAGCCTACTGTTATTTTTTGAGACAGGGTCTCTCTCTGCCTCTGTCTGCCCTGGCTGGATGGAGTACAGTGGCATGATCATGGCTCACTACAGCCTTCGCCTCCTGGGCTCAACTGTCCTCCCACCTCAGCCTCCCAAGTAGCTGGGACTACAGACACACACGACCACAACCAGCTAATATTTGTATTTTCTGTAGAGACAGGGTTTTGCCATTGCTTCCCAGGATGGTATTGAACTACTGGGCTCAAGTAATATACTTGCCTCAGCCTTTCAAAGTGCTGAAATTACAGTCCTGAGTGACTGTGCCCAGCCATTGTTTTAAATAATTCATTTATCAGTCTTGTCTTTTATGGTTTAGTGTCACACACTTCCAAAGGCCTTGCAAAATAAGATCTCCCAGAGCTTTTTTCTAATCCTTTCATGGTTTTATATATTTTTAAAATCTAGATGATTGACCAAAAACAATCCCTTTAAACACCAAGTCCCTCTTTATGTCTAGGTACACTGTTTACTTTTTTTTTTTTTTGAGACACAATCTTACTCTTTCGCCAGGCTGGAGTACAGTGGCACGATCTCAGCTCACTGCAACCTCCGTCTCCCAGATTCAAGCAATTCCCCTGCCTCAGCCTCCTGGGTAAGGTAGGACTACAGGTGCACACCACCACACCCGGCTAATTTTTTTGTATTTTAGTAGAGATGGCATTTCACCATGGCCAGGATGGTCTCAATCTTCTGACTTCATGATCGGCCTGTCTCAGCCCCCCAAAGTGCTGGGATTACAGGCATGAGCCACTGTGCCTGGCCTAAGTACGCTGTTTAATTAACTTAGAGTCCTGAGAAGGAAGGAAGGGTTGGTGCCTAAAAAGTGTGATGTAATTGGCTGGGCACAGTGGCTCAAACCTGTAATCCCAGCACTTTGGGAGGCCGAGGCAGGCAGATCACTTGAGGCAAGGAGTTCAAGACCAGCCTGGCCAACATGGTGAAACCCCATCTCTATTAAAAATACAAAAATTAGACGGGCGTGGTGGCAGGCACCTGTAATTCCAGCTACTTGAGAGGCTGAGGCAGAAGAATCCCTTGAACACAGAAGGCAGAGGGTGCAGTGAGCCAAGACTGCACCACTGCACTCCAGCCTGGGTGACAGAATGAAACTCCATCTCAAAAAAAAAAAAAGAGAGAGTGACATAATGGTAAACAACACTAACAGAAGCCAAAGAAACATGAGATATCAACTTTCCCTCTAGCCACCTGCAAATGCAGGGGTCGGGGCGGGGGTGTGAATAATGTAATATTTATTCCTAAATTAAATTAACTTTTCTAGCAAAAATTAACAAATGAGGAAGAAAGCATTTATCTACCTTGTTCACTGCTCTCAGCTGGGGAGTCCTCGTGTCGAAGGAAAAATTTCACTTCTTCCCTCCGTGGCCCCCATTTCTGAAGATGTTCATACATCATATGATCAAAGGGTATGGGACGTTCTAGGAAAAAGACCACATCTTTTTTACTCCAGAATTAAAATGGCTCCGATCAAAAGTAAATTTTTAAAAAAATTTAAATGAATGTATACATGCACACATATATGTCTACATGTTAGAATTCAAAGATATTACAAGCACTGAATTTCAACATTAATGAGTAAAAGCAAGAATAAGAATAGGAAATAATTGAGGCAACAGATAAACACAAAAAGTATCCATGAAGGCAATCTTGCAACATTAAATAGGGAACACTGAAACATGCCCTTTACAGAACTCATTTATCACAAAACATTGTGTCTCCCATTCATTTTTCTGTTTGTTTTGAGATGGGGTTTCGCTCTTGTTGCCCAGGCTACAGTGCAATGGCACGATTTTGGCTCACTGCAACCTCTGCCTCCCGGGTTCAAGCGATTCTCCTGCCTCAGCCTCCCAAGTAGCTGGGATTATAGGCAGGCGCCACCACGCCCAGCTAATCTTTTGTATTTAGTAAAGACGGAGTTCTACCATGTTAGGCTGGTCTTGAACTCCTGACCTCATGATCTGCCTGCCAAAGTGCTGGGATTACAGGCATGAGCCACACTGCCCAGCCCTTACTGATCTTAATTTATCCTCTAAACTTTATTTTCTGTTTTACATGTGTATATTATCATTTAAAAATAATTGTTTTATTCTGGAATAATTTTAGATTTACAGAAAAGTTACCAACAAAGTACAAAGTTCCTGTATATCCTTCATCCACTTTCCCCTAATGCAAACATCTTACCTAGCTATGGCATACTGTATATACTTCATCCTTGAACACAGGTCTGAACTGAATAGGTCCACTCACATATGAATTTTCTTCCACCTCTACCACCTGAGACAGCAAGACTGACCTTCTTCCTCCTCCCTCAGCCTACTCAACATAAAGATGAGCAGTGGTTCACGCCTATAATCCCAACACTTTGGGAAGCCTAGGTGGGTGGATCACTTGAGGCCAGGAGTTTGAGACCAGCCTGGCCAACATGGAAAACCCATTTCTACTAACAATACAAAAAAATTAGCTGGGCATGGTGGTGCGCACCTGTAATCCCAACTACTTGGGAGGCTGAGGCAGAAGAATCACTTGAACCCAGGAGGCAGAGGTTGCAGTGAGCTGAGATTGTGCCACTGCACTCTAGTCTGGGTGGCAAAGCACAACTCTGTATTACAAAAAATCAAAACGAAACAAAAAACCATGAAGGATGAAGACCTTTATAATGAGCCACTTCCACTTAATAAATTGTAAATATATTTTCATTTCCTTGTGACTTAATAACATTTTTTCTCTAGCTTATTTTATTGTAATAATACCGTATGTAATACATATAACATACAAAATGTGTTAATTGGCTATGTTATCAGTAAAGCTTCTGGTCAACAAAAGGCTACAAGTAGTTAGGTTTTGGAAGAATCAAAAGTTATACTCGTTTTTCAACTGTGCAGGGGGTCAGTGCCCCCAATCTCCACGTTGTTCAAGGTTCAACTGTACTTAATAAATAAACCTTGTTAATAGTGCTGCTTAAATCTTCCCTAATCTTGACTGTTTGATCTCCTAATGTCTAATAGATATATGCCTGCAACTCTCCCATTTTGATTTTAGATTTGCCAAATTCATCCTCATAATTAAAAAATTGTGACTTTATATTTTTCAGTTTACATTGTTGAATGTACATCTACTTATGAATGTTTAAGCTTCCCGATATATCACTGCTTTTATTATGTCCATCTTTATCCTAACAGTTTAACCTTAAATTTTATTTTGCCTGATATTAATGTTGCCAGAAAAGCTTTCTTTTCACCTTTCCCTTCATGTCAACATTTCTGATAGGATTTCTGATTATGCTTGTATGTCTCTTCTACGCAGCACAGAACTGGATTTTATTTTTTACCCAGTCTCTACCTCTATCTTAATAAGTAAATTTAATCTATTACAGTTAACATAGTTATGGATTTTTTAAATTGCATTTTAGGTTTTGGGGTACATGTGCAGAACATGCAATATAGTTGCATAGGTACACACATGGCAGTGTGTTCTGCTGCCTTCCTCCACTTCACCCACATTTGGCATTTCTCCCCATGCTATACCTCCCCAGCTCCCCCCTCCCCTCTATCCCTCCCCTATTCCCCCCAACAGACTCCCTTCCCTGTGTCCATGTGTTCTCATTGTTCATCACCCGCCTATGAGTGAGAATATGCAGTATTTCATTTTCTGTTCTTCTGTCAGTTTGCTGAGAATGAGGTTCTCCAGATTCATCCATGTCCCTACAAAGGACAGGAACTCATCATTTTTGATTGCTGCATAATATTCCATGGTGTATATGTGTCACATTTTCCCACTCCAGTCTAACATCGATGGGCATTTGGGTTGGTTCCAGGTCTTTGCTATTGTAAACAGTGCTGCAATGAACATTCGTGTACATGTGTCCTTATAGTAGAACGATTTAGAGTCCTTTGGATATATACCCAGTCATGGGATTGCTGGGTCAAATGGAATTTCTATTTCTAAGGCCTTGAGGAATCGCCACACTGTCTTCCACAATGGTTGAACTAATTTACACTCCCACCAACAGTGTAAAAGTGTTCCTTTTTCTCCACATCCTCTCCAGCATCTGTTGTCTCCAGATTTTTTAATGATCACCATTCTAACTGGCGTGAGATGGTATCTCAATGTGGTTTTGATTTGCATCTCTCTGATGACCAGTGATGATGAGCATTTTTTCATATGTTTGTTGGCCTCATGTATGTCTTCTTTTGTAAAGTGTCTGTTCATATCCTTTGCCCATTTTTGAATGGACTTCTTTTTTCCCTGTAAATCTGTTTGAGTTCTTTGTAAATTCTGGATATCAGCCCTTTGTCAGATGGGTAAACTGCAAAAACTTTTTCCCATTCTGTTGGTTGCCGATTCACTCTAGTGACTGTTTCTTTTGCTGTGCAGAAGCTGTGGAGTTTGATGAGGTCCCATTTGTCTATTTTGGCTTTTGCTGCCAATGCTTTTGGTGTTTTGTTCATGAAGTCCTTGCCTATTCCTATGTCCTGAATGGTTTTGCCTAGATTTTCTTCTAGGGTTTTTATGGTGCCAGGTCTTATGTTTAAGTCTTTAATCCATCTGGAGTTAATTTTAGCGTAAGGTGTCAGGAAGGGGTCCAGTTTCTGCTTTCTGCACACGGCTAGCCAGTTTTCCCAACACCATTTATTAAACAGGGAATCCTTTCCCCATTGCTTGTTTTTGTCAGGTTTATCAAAGACTGTATGGTTATAGATATGTTGTGTTGATTCCGATGCCTGTGTTCTGTTCGATTGGTCTATTTCTCTGTTTTGGTACCAGTACCATGCTGTTTTGTTTACTGTAGCCTTGTAATATAGTTTGAAGTCCGGTAGTGTGATGCCTCCCGCTGTGTTCTTTTTGCTTAGAATTGACTTGGCTATGCAGGCTCTCTTTTGGTTCCATATGAAGTTCATGGTGGTTTTTTCCAGTTCTGTGAAGAAAGTTAATGGTAGCCTGATGGGGATAGCATTGATTCTGTAAATTACTCTGGGCAGTACAGCCATTTTCATGATATTGATTCTTCCTAACCATGAACATGGAATGTTTCTCCATCTGTTTGTGTCCTCTCTTATTTCGTTGAGCAGTGGTTTTGTAGTTTTCCTTGAAGAGGTCCCTTACATTCCTTGTAAGTTGTATTCCTAGGAATTTTATTCTTTTTGTAGCAATTGTGAATGGCAGTTTGTCCTTGATTTGGCTTTCTTTAAGTCTGTTATTGGTGTATAGGAATGCTTGTGATTTTTGCACATTGATTTTATATCCTAAGACTTTGCTGAAGTTGCTTATCAGTTTCAGGAGTTTTTGGGCTGAGACGATGGGGTCCTCTAGGTATACTATCATGTCGTCTGCAAATAGTGACAATTTGGCTTCCTCCTTTCCTATTTGAATACACTTTATTTCTTCTTCTTCCCTGATTGCTCTGGCTAGAACTTCCAGTACTATATTGAATAGGAGTGGTGAAAGAGGGCATCCTTGTCTAGTGCCGGATTTCAAAGGGAATGCTTCCAGTTTTTGCCCATTCAGTATATTAGCTGTTGGTTTGTCATAAATAGCTTTTATTACTTTGAGATACGTTCCGTCAATACCGAGGTTATTGAGGGTTTTTAGCACAAAGGGCTGTTGAATTTTGCCAAATGCCTTCTCTGCGTCAATTGAGATAATCATGTGGTTTTTGTTTTTGGTTCTGTTTATGTGGTGAATTACGTTTATAGACTTGCATGTGTTGAACAGCCTTGCATCCCCAGGATGAATCCTACTTGATCATGATGGATAAGTTTTTTGATGTGCTGTTGCAATCGGTTTGTATTTTATTGAAGATTTTTGCATCTATGTTCATCATGGATATTGGCCTGAAGTTTTCTTTTCTTGTTGAGTCTCTCTCTGCTGGGTTTTGGTATCAGGATGATGTTGGTCTCATAAAATAATTTGGGAAGGATTCCTTCTTTTTGGATTATCTGGAATAGTTTCAGAAGGAATGGTACCACCTCCTCTTTGTGTGTCTGGTAGAATTCGGCTGTGAACCCATCTGGACCTGGACTTTTTTTTGTGTGGTAGGCTCTTAATTGCTGCCTCGACTTCAGACCTTGTTATTGGTCTATTCATAGTTTTGGCTTCCTCCTGGTTTAGGCTTGGGAGGACACAGGTGTCCAGGAATTTATCTATTTCTTCCAGGTTTACTAGTTTATGTGCATAGAGTTGTTTGTAATATTCTCTGATGATGGTTTGAATTTCTGTGGAATCTGTGATTTCCCCTTTATCGTTTTTTATTGCATCTATTTGGTTGTTCTCTCTTTTCTTTTTTATCAGTCTGGCTAGTGGTCTATTTTGTTGATCTTTTCAAAAAACCAGTTCTTGGATTTATTGATTTTTTGAAAGGTTTTTCATGTCTCAATCTCCTTCAGCTCAGCTCTGATCTTAGTTATTTCTTGTCTTCTGC